ATTTATTTATATCATTTCTTTGATAAAATAAACTTGAGAATATCGTCACAGGTATAGAACGTGCATTTCATAGTCCAACACATTAATCCTTCGAAATTTTCAAACAAAGCGGCATGCCTAATAGTTCAGGTCAACATAAATAAGTTCAGAAAAACATGTTTTGAAGTTCTTAAATTGGAAATTCTTTTCATTGTTCTTTCCAAATCCCATTGTATTTCTATTTTTAAAACAAATGAAATGCTGTATTTTGAGAAGTTTTGACCGATCCGAAAACGAATTTTGCTAACAACAAGATCAGGGCTAATTATCATATCAAGTGAAATTTGTAACCACCCGTAATAATTTTATAACTCCCTTTTTTCAATGTTATCAGTTGATAGCAAATAGATGATTTCAATCAGGTAATTACTGGACAAATTTATCACATTTAATATAACCTTTTAAATTCTGAAATTACTATCCTGGGAGATATATGCTTCATAATGCTTCAACTCTGCATTACATTACTCAACCAACGATATATGGACGAACTTCCAACCTCTTATTTTATGAAAGAGATAATTAAAAATTTCTAATTTCCACAGAATTATTCAGTAATATGATCTGAAAGAGTATCCTGCTAGTTAACGAAACGATTGTAAACTATCTTGACCAAGGTATGAGATTATAACTTTTAAATTTCATTAGCAATAAAATTGAAAAAAATATAAGAAAAATATTGCAAAGCGTAACTTTGATAAATCTACTTTCAGTCTAGAAAAAATTACATTTTTTTGGGATAAAATTTGAAATTTAGAGTAAAGTGAAATTGAAAAAAAATTGGTTATGAGAAATTACTTTTGCCAATAATTGTTTTGCCTAGATAATTAATTTGTATCAGTTTTAAAGGAATTAGTAAATGCAACAGCATTTTTTTAAAAAACAAAAGAAAAAATAGTACTTTTTCTTTGCTTAATTAGTTAAAGTTAACAACTTTTCAAGCAAAATTTGCCATTTTTTGAAAAGTTCAATATAATGCTTTAAAATATGCTAACTTCCTTCAAATTTTTTTTCCAACAATCATAACGATAACATTATCTAAACGATGCCGGTTTGGTGTACATAAAACATCTTTTCCGAATTAGCATTTAATGCTTTAAAGCTTTTTCTTGTAAAAGCTATTTAATCCTCGTACGTTTGAGGCCCTGAAAATTATTTTAAGCATCAGTAATATTTTCTTCGCTCTTGAAATGCTAAAATTTCAAACAGTATTAAATACGCTTTAAAACATAATACCTTTAAATGATTTCGCATTTCTTTAATTGTTCACAAAAATATCTGACGAATTTTAATTTGATTTTAAATTCAAGAATAAATAACTACATTGTAATTTGTCGCGAAAACTTTTAACAATTTAAGAATGTGACATTTTTATTGCTAATTTAAGCATTATTAATATGTTATGTTCATATGAGAATAATTTCTGATAAGTTAAAAAAGATTTCAGGTCCTTCAAATAAATGAAAAAAATAAAACGTGATAATTTGTGTTGAGAAAAAATGATTCTTATTAATTTCGATTTTGATTTTTCAATAAATAAGTCTTTTTTATTCAGAAATAAAATAACAGAGACATTAATAAACCACCACCGACTATTTTGTATGGATTCAAAGAAATGCATATTTTTCAACATACGATTCTGAGATAAAGGAGAATATTTATGCACTCATACTGCAACTTACCATGTCATCATCATATCATAATCTGATAAAGTCTTGATTTTACCTTGAAGCAAAGTTGTATTTAACTTCATAAGAACTAACACTTCAACTATTCTCGAATAAAACTTCAGCACATTCGCCAGTAGCTACAATATATAAAACAGCGCTAACGTTCTCAAAACAATGAATTCATTTTTTTCGCTCCGATGGTTGTTAGTCTAATCAAATATTCTGAATTAAATGTTTCGATAAAATGTGCTTCGAAAGTGCATTAAATTTTTGCTTTTTTTCGGATGAATAATTTGTTCATAATGATGATAATAATTATAAAAAAATTTTGAATTCTCTGAATTTAAAACGATTTCCAATGTTTTTGAATTGGTTGACGTGATAAGTTGAGTTCTTGCGCTGATTTCCAATTGAATGATCGAAAAGATAAAAATTTATACTGTGAAGCTAAAATCTGTAAAACAAAAGCGCATTAGCTATAGTTATGAATGTAAACCTGAATGGAATATTTTTAATAACAAAATGAACTTCCACAATTCCAGCTGTTTTTTTCTCCCAATAATATCCCTTTCGTTCGAGGCTACTATCGATCAGTATTGTCGAAAAACTGCAAAAACGTTCACCCTTTTTTTTCTTATCTGTATCTGCGCATTCATCACATTTTTATCATGCTATTGATGGCCAGAGGCAGGAATGCAAAATACACTGTTTATTAATACTTAAAGTTCAAAATGAAATATTATATTTTACTGCTCTCGTCAAGATCATGCCATAAACAAAAAGAACAAATAAACTGCTCAAGCCTTCCTTATTTCTTTTTCATTTTATTAAATTAGCAATATACTTGAATGAAATTGCTTGAATCTGAAGCTGCCATACATCTGCCAAATAATACTTGCAAAAACAGAAACATGAAAGAATGATTATAATTGTAAACCAATAATTGAGGAAATTATAACAATTCTGCTTAATACTAATAAATATTCAATTCAAGTATTCATAATTTTCAAACTTAAATTCCTGATTTACTGAAATTGCACGGAAAAAATTAAACGAAACTGTTTGATGGATTCACGTAGATAAGAGACCCACGTCTTCTTTTTAAAACAGTCTGAATTGTTGAAAGCCTTAATCGCAGTTGCAATCACACAAATTATTGTTGCCGATTCTGCACTAATGGCTTCATCAATAACAGCTATACTAGTCTGCAAAAAATTATTGATTATTGCTAAGTAAATTGAAAAAGGGTTCAAATGACCATTGGTTAAAATTTTCTTCTGTTACTCATGCCAGTAAAACAGGAACACTTCGAGGTCTATTAAATTAAAATCCAACATGAAGCATTTCTTAGATTGTTTTGAAATTATTGGGAAAAGAGAGTGAAAGCGGTAAACCACGGTAATAAAATAATTTTTTGATAGTGAAATTATGAAATCTGCAAAATCAAACAAAAAATGTCACTCAGTCAAAATGTTACTCATATTTAGAATGTGAAAAATTCATTTGTATTCTTTAGCGTCACAAAAATAACATTTCTAGATGGATCATTGAATTTAATATCATAAAGTCTTATAGTTTGTAAGATAGCATCCACTGGATGGATTGTACTTTGGAATACCACCAAATAATGCCTTATCAATTCATTTTATGCAAACTGTTAAAAACATACTGTATGCACATATATTGAATTTATCTAAGCGATTAATGCAATTAATTTTATTCACAAATGCCAATATAAATAATCCGCTCAGTCATAAAAGATCATAAATTTTATCGATTAGATAGATGTTCATTAATAAGGCGTACATTTAAAAAATAAATATCAACTATCTAAATTAAAAAAATTGAAAAATATTGTTAAAATCTCTGATAACAAATCACATCTGTTTAGCAAGTATACTTTTGCCAGAATCATCAGCCCTAAAAAACTCATTTTAAATGAATTTGATTTCAATATTTATAGCATCAATGCTTTCTTATTGACACAAGAGATATTAAAGTTTCAGATTTCAAATATGAAACTTCAGTTTTTTTTTTGAAGAGTGGTCAATAAGGCTGAATTATATCTTTTCAAGAGTTGCCAAAAGAATTGGAACTATTGAAATAATTAAAATGGCATCATAGAAATTTATACTATAATGATTCTACTCATCAATGCGTTAAATTTTTTTTTCAATGTTAAGTTAATCCTTTGTTCATTCAGTTGCACTTTCATTTCAAAGACCTAAATGAACTTTCCCGGCTAGAAGATCTGTCCGTAAACTTAACAGATTTTTCAACTAATGAGTAGAAGTGCTACAATGTAGAATATTTCGTATCTGATTAAATTAATGACTTTGCTAACCTATGCGCATGTATGTGTGTGTGTGT